TCTTGCCAGAAACCACACTCCAAACAGAGATAAATTCCTACTTTGAAGGTGGAAAACCTCCAATCCACCAGGTGTTTTTTGTTGAAACTGGGTTGGCAAATCGAGTTGCGGCCAAGTGAAGGGCTTCACCCAAAAGCATAGTGGATCTTGTGGTAAAATCGCTCGAGAGATAGCTCTGAAAGATGCTGCCACAAGATGGCGCGCAGATATGTCACCAAGAGATCGCCTGGGATGTTGCGCAGAAGGATTGTGCAGAGATCGCGCACAAAATCATTGCGCAAAGAAATCGCTGAGAGAGCTGGAGGCAGCATGGCAAAGCTGACGAGTCTGCGTGTACCCCACTTGCTGATTCTGCGTCGAACCCTCTGCGCGGACCGCAGATGTGGGCGTACAAAAACAAGCAACTGCAGCTTGTTGGGCGACTCGCCCTCTGCGTGACCATTCGGGCCATTCCGCAGAGATCCCTGCAAGTGCTACTTGTTTACATCCCGGCGTCTCTGCGCACTGCGATGCACAAAAACCTAAAATAACTTTCTTTTTTTTCGGCCTATCGGGTTTTCAGGGTTCCCCAACTCATGGCTAAGAAAAATGAAAAATGCTGAAGAACAGGACTATCAAGACTACTCGATTTTCGGGGGCCCCAGCTGAAGGGGGGCTTCTTAGTGTGCTTTGAGTGTAGTAACGCCTCACCTCCTCGATTTCGCAGGTACGCAAATTTTGCTGGCTGTTTACTTCATCAGTCACAACCGTAGCTTCCTTTTCTGAGATCGGTTTGTTTCCAGCCATCTGGAGTTGTCCTCCAGCAAGTGCAGCGCTTGCTCCCAGTGCCCTGTCCGGGCACATTCCGACAGCGAGCTCGGGCCCAGCGAGCCTCCGATGGCTCCGGTGACATGATGCAAAGACGGGGGTTGGCCCACCCTGCCTTTGTTGGAACATGTTTGAACGATGTTGGTTCCATGAGGGGGGCGAAACGTGTCTGTGGCAAACAAAATGTGCAACCAACCTTGAAAGGCTCAAAGACATAACCCCATGAAGTCTTGGTGGGCGGTGAGCCTCCCACATCCTGCAACATAGCACAGCGGGACCTCCGAAAGCCCCGGCTGGCATATCCAAACACAAGCGGGTGATTTCAAGTCATGATCAAGAATCCAAAAATTCAAAGTCGGTAGTTTTCCGTTTGGCTTATTTTGAAACACTCCAAAGAGGGGCAGCGCTTCTACTTCGTGTTTTGGATTGATGGTTTGGAGGGTAGGGGGATGGTTTCCCATGTACTCTCCAAAAGAACCAGACGATCAAACCCCAAACCATCCTAACCAAAGGTCACCTGAACCAAGGCACTGGCATCGAAGGCCTCCGCAGGGCGCAGAAGCTCCCAGCTGACGCGTCGGCAGGCACCGCCCGCGCAAAGCCGGACCCGGAAGACTTCCCCAGGCAGTCCGTCCAGGTCCCAGTTCAGACCTCACATCGTCAATGTCTAAAAGAGGGAAACCAGAGATAGGCAGCGCACAGAGTTCGCCTTATATTGCTTGTAGTACGTAAGTTTATGCGTTTTTTTGTTTTGTTTTGTTTTTTCTGACAAGCGTAAAACATGTTGCTTGTTGGAGGGCGCGTGCCCGTGACAGAGGGAATCAACTAGAAAAGGCTGAAGATGCCTTTAGCGTGGCAAAACTAGTGATCCCCGCATTTGTTCTTCAGAACTGCTTCAATCAGTGGACTAGAGTCTTACAGTCAAAACCCTAGTTTTGACATAGCTTTGATTTGATGGCAAGACCAGTAGAGCCCTCAAGGCCGAGTGGCCGGTACGATTCAAACATATAGGAACTATAGCTCTCTTTGTCTTGCTCTTTCTCTTTATCTCTCTCTTGCTCTTTATCTTTCTCTTGCTCTGTTCTTTCTTCCCATTTCTCTTTCTCTTTCCTTTTCTCTATCTCTCTACTTCTCTATATCTGTATCTCGCTAGGTCTCTGTCCCTGTATCCTTCTATCTATCTATCTACCTATCTATCTACCTATTCGTCTATCTATCCATTTGTCTCTATCTCTGCCTATCCGTATATCTGTCTATTTCTCTATCTCTCTATCTCTCTATCTATCTCTCTCTCTCTCTATCTCTCTATCTCTCTATCTCTCTATCTATCTATCTATCTATCTATCTATCTATCTATCTATCTATCTATCTATCTATCTATCTATCTATCTATGTATCTATACCTTTATCTCTCCATCTCCCTCTCTATCTCTCTATCTCTCTATCTCTCTATCTCTCTATCTCTCTATCTATGTATCTATCTATCTACCTACCTATCTATCTATCTCTTTATCGCTCTGTCTATCTCTCTCTATCTTTCTACCTACCCACCTACCTACCTACCCTACCTATCTATCTATCTACCTATCTATCTACATATGTTTATCTATCTATATGTCTATCTATCTATCTATCTATCTATATACCTACCCATCTATCTATCTATCTATCTATTTATCTATCTATCTCTTTATCTCTCTCTCTCTCTATCTCTCTCTCTCTCTATCTCTCTCTCTCTCTATCTTTATACCTACCTATCTATCTATATGTTTATCTATCTATCTGTCTGTCTGTCTGTCTGTCTGTCTGTCTGTCTGTCTGTCTGTCTGTCTGTCTATCTGTCTCATTATCTCTCTATCTATATATATATATATATCTATCTATCTATCTATCTATCTACCTATCTCTTTTTCTATCCATCTATCTATCTATCTATCTATCTATCTATCTATCTATCTATCCATCAATGGATCGATCAATCTATCTATCTCTCTCTCTCTCTCTATCTCTCTATCTCTCTATCTCTTTATCTCCATCCATCTATGGTGAAGAAGATGGGGGTGTGCTTCTCACGGGGGCCGGAAAACATAGGGTGGTTGTTCGAGCGATAAACTCCCGCCAAATGCTCTGAGGCACCGTGGCCGCCGTCATCCGGGCCGCCCACTCGCGGCAAGCCGTCACCAGCTGGGTAGAGCACGCGGGACCAGTCCTGGTCGCACACGATCTGGAACTCGCCGCCCGGCTCTGGCAGGGTGACATCTAAGACGAATTCCTGCAAGATCCCTTGACCAAACAGAACCCAGCTGCACAGGCAACCCCAACAGAATTACCTCGGGTGGTGACATGGTCCGGCAGATCATTTTTTGGGGTGGAACGAACCCCATCGCCTGAAGCTTTCTTGGAACAAGACAGCTCTCCTGCCTCCGCTGAATCTGGCAACATCTCTTCGAATTCCCACTCGCTCCAGCTCCCAACGACATAGAAGCGTTCTTTGGCACCAATCTTTGGCGCTTCTTTGGCTTCAGCTGCCGCGCCTTTGGCTGGCCCGTGGTATTCCTTCGAACGCGTCCTGGGACTCGTCTGCTTGTGATCCAGCGCCAACAGAAATCCCCTCAGCTCCTGCAGGGGCATGCCAGGCCCGTTTGACCCGGCCGTTCATTTTGAGTGGCCGGCTTTCCTTCACCCTCCACCCCTCCGCTCCTGCGCCTGCGTTGCTCGGGCCTGCGCCCGCGTTCTGACCGCTGGCAGGGCCAAAAGCCCCAGAGGCCAAAGCGCCCCGGAAAACCGGCGAGGCGAAGGCCGCGGCACCGGCGCTCCGGTCGAAACCGGCGGTGCCAGTGGCAGCCAGGTGGCGGTGAAAAGCGGCGGCAAAGCCATGGCGGGCCGGCCACCGGCAGTGGGAAAAATCGGGCAACGTCGACGTATAAGGAGTCTTTTTCTGGTGTTCCCCGCTCGAGAAAGCCAGGCAAACCGTCACCCTTGGTCAAATGGTTTCGTCTGAATATGGCATGTGGTGGACCCCCAATTCAGTGGCTTCCTTCTGGGAGCCAACTAGGAAACAAAGCAAGAGCTTCCCCTTCCACAAAAGAACGCGCCCATCTTCTTGGCAGTAAGGCTGCGATGATCATAGACAGGACCAAGGTCGGCACAAAGGCCAGCGGCGCAAACATGCCGTCATGAGCATGGAAGTTCAGTCATAAATGAAAACAATCATTAAGGAAGTCTACTCAAAACCGCACAAAGAAGCAAAAGAACAAAGAACAGATATCACATATCCGCACCATATCAGCGCCGTTTTATGGCTGTATCTTTCCCCTTCTCTTCATAACTGATTCCGAGCCATAGCAAGGCGAGCCATCGCGGCCTTTGTCACTATTGCTGATCAAAGGAGGTTATTAGGGGCCACTAAGGACAATTAAGAGCCTTGGAACAACGAATTCTGGATTTGGTCTCAACCTGGTGCTCGCGGATCTGATCCTGCTTCCTGCCCTGTCCTTGGGCGAGGGCTCGACTCGGGGCTGATGCAAATGGTTCAACACCAAGCCGCTGTGAGCGTCAAACCGCTGCCTTCATAGCCATCGCCATCAGGAGGAGGAGCAGAACAGGAAGCGCGTGCCACAAGTTGCGCAGTGTGACATGTTTCGGATCCAAAGGGCTGTGCTAAGTCGGTCTTTCAGCCGAGCGTGTGCGAAGCGCAAGGGCACACTTGCAACAAACTTGAAGACGCCAAGTGACGCAGGAGAAACACGTAGCTCGCCAATGCCATCGCATGTCAGCCACAAGCGAAGCCATACTGCTGAAGCAAGGTGATTCGCGCTTGTTCGGCATCTATCGAAAGCGCTGACAACTCGAAAGCGCCACATCGTCCAAGTTTGTGACGACGCGATTGCCTCGCTTGGCTTGCGCTTTGTTCCCGACACGGTGGTTTTTTGCCCATGCCAACCATGACACCAGTGTGCACAAGTGCCATCTCATCGTGTGCCATGGCGAGTTCTGACTGCGACCCACGGCTCCGAAGCTCTGGGAAGCTATCAAGTTCTAGCCAGATTGGTTCGAACCGCATCACTTCCGGAAAGCGATGTGAAACTTTAACCAAGTCGAAACTGACCAGGAAACACTCCATAACCTCCCAACTGCCAATTCAAAACCAACCAGCAAACTGCTCAGCGCCCTAAGGCTCTGAGGCCCCTCGCGCATCCTCGGGCGCCTTGAGGTACCGAAGCATGTGTCCAGGGATGTCCGCCTGACGTCTGGCGTCTGGCGTCTGGCGGCAGGTCGCCGGCCCCGGCCCCATCCTCCCTCGCTCGGGCTGACCACATGCACGCTATTTCAGGGGTCGTTTCTTTGGCACCCCTTTGGACCGCATGTGGACAATGTCCAGCACCCATCTCCGTCCATGCCTGCTCCAGCTCAAAGGCAGAGCATCGCTCATCTTCGATGCCGCCCTTCTCTGTCCTGAGGCGTCGCCGGAGCCACAGACTCGATGCCGGCAGCCTACAAACTTGTTCTGTGGGGACATACGGAACAGAATGCCTTGAACACGGTGCGCCCATCCCCCTTTGAGGCCGCGGCTTCTTCAAAAGCTCCCTCAACGCGAAAAGGCCCTCCGCAGGGGCGAGGCCTGAGGCCCACCGCCCCGCGACCCAAGGCTCTGTGGACGGCCCTGTCCCAAACTGGGCCCTTTTGGCTCCACCGTCTTAAACCAAAATGAAAAGGGCACCCGTAAACAGCAAACACCCAGAGAGGCGATAGGTACTACGCATCTTCCATGAAGCAGCACCTGCAGCTGCGAACGGTCGCTGGTTGTGCCCTGGTCTTGCACACATATCTCTTTGTAGCCTCCTTAGTTTTCCTGGATCCCTCTTTCAGCGGCTACGGGTCTGGGTCGCTTTGGGTGGTGGGCCACAACAGAAATGACCCAACGCTTCCGACTTCGGACATCCTTCTTGTGTTGGCCAAGCCCGCCCCCACCCCCACCTCCACCCCCGACCCCACAAAACAAAACCAGAAACGGGAAGGGGAGCCCCGCATTTTGCAACCTCGGGCGCCGGGCGGCCTGGGGCCTCATCCCCAGCCGTGCGCAACGCTTCCACCTGTGGGACGCGCGGGCACGTCCCTCGCACTGCAGGAGAAAGGCTGCGGGGTGGTTTTGCGTCTCTCCGGATGGGGAACGTTTCCCCACCCCCACCCGAAATGGTTTCCAAAAGGGCACCCTTTAGACAAGAGGGGTGCATGAGTCATTCTAAGGAAGGCACCCTTGTGTTTTCGGGGCTCGCTCGCCCCACTTTGCCTGAGCCCCAGGCGACCTCCACCAGCTTCCTCAGGCTCGCCCAATTCCCCGAAAGGCCGAGTTGACCCCTCACCGCTAGGTCAAAGCTTTGTGCCAAGGTTTAGTATGCTGTCTTGACAACTTGAGGCATTCTCGCAATATGCCACCTAAGCCCGTTCCCAAACCACATTCCAACAGCTTGACATCCAACCTTGAAAAGCCTCTCAGTCTTCAACTGCTTGATTGTCAACTCTCTCATGCCCCTTCTCTCCCTACCATGTTCGGTTCTGAATCCTGTCCAGCTGCATGTTTGTCTCCAACATGTTCACTTTGTCTGTTGTTCATCCCTACTATGAAGAAAATGATACGAGGAAGCATCCTCACGCGCGTGCAGATCCAAAGGAATTTGTTGCTGTGTAAACAGTGCTATGTTTGGCACCTGTTTGAAAGCAAATAAGTACCGCATATACCGCATATGCGAACAAATGACCTTGTTCCACCTGATAACCCTCATGCAAAACAAAACGCCGAACAGTGCGACATGCGTTTCCATGCAACACGAAACATTGGTTGCAAAATTGGCTTAACGAGGACCGCAGATCCCCTTTGGGGGTCCCAAAGGAGATTGTGGAAACAGCCCTAAAACCAGCCTTTTGCTCCACAGCAAAAACAGACTGAACCAATGAATCTTCCGAACACTCCATAGGAGCTCTGCGCTTTAAAGGGCCGTTACCACATTTCCGCATACTACAAACAAGAAAAATCAAGGAAAGCGAGTGGCTTGCACCAACCCTCGGAGCCACCCGGCTGGTTGCTCATCCATTCCTCCGCCTGGTCACTCTCACCTAGCAGGAACTCAGTCCAGCAACCAGTGGGCATGACCAACGCATAGAATAATTTTGTTTTGGTGCTGGTTTCCCCTTTGGTCACCTCCAAAAGGGGAGCATTTAACAGTCTGAAACGAAACCCACATGCACACCCTGCGGCATACATGTAACATGGCTGTGTGTCAATACCTGACCCCCCTCCAAATGGGTTGCTTCAACATGGTTTCCTTTACTTAAATCCGCCCCTAAAACCCCTAAAATGAGCCCGACTAGTTTTGACCTAACCCAACCCAATCCCCCCCCCCCCCCCCGGCCCCTCCCTTCAAGGGTGAGCCAGGGGGCCTGAGGCCCCGCCTTCGCGCAACTCCTCCTTTAGCAGCTGGGCCTCTTTACCTCAGCTCGTTGCCTGTCGTAGCAAGCGTAGCAAGCCTCGCTCGGGGCCTCAAACCTAGCGAATGTAACCCACCTCAACCACCAACCGGGGGTCAACTAAAATAGGAACCCCATGCAAAGCAAAAACGATTTGCCACAAGATGGGGAGCGGACTCAGCTCCTCCACAGTCACCTTCTCGTGGTGGGCTTGCCGGTAAATGCCACACCTCATTCCCCACATCCCACCGGAAGCCGAGCTGGCCACGGGTGCCATGATCTTTGCATCGTTGCATCCCATGCACTTGATGCACTTGATGCCCTTGCAGCACTTGCAGCACCTGCGCCAGGCGTGGGCGCCCGGCTGCGCCACGTCTTTGCCGGCGGACAGGCGACGAGCCCAGCGCGCCGCTCCATGACCTCGGCTGAAGCCAAGGCCCACGCGAACTGAGGCAACAG